CGCTGACGTAGACGACGCCGACGACGATAACGGCGACCACACTGACGGCGAGTGCACGACTGCACTTATGGAGGACTAGACGAAAACGCCGACGGCGACGATGAAAAGGACCTGGACGACGATGACGACGACGACTGGGCGACGACGACGACGACGACGACGAGGACGATGACGACTGGGCGACGACGACGACGACGACCACAAACGACAAGGCAGACGACGACGCAGACTACGGCGGCGCGACGACGACGGCGATAACGACAACGACGACGACACCTGCACGACTTGCACATTGGATAAACTGACGACTGCGCGACGACGACGACGACGCAATCGACGACGACGGCACACGCGACGACGACTGGGACACGGTGACGGCGTCTGGGCTCAAAGGCGACGGCGACGACTGGACGAGGACGAGGACGACGACGAGGACGAGCACGACAAGTACGACAAGTACGACGACGACATCGACGACGACGACGCCGACGACGACTGGACGACGACTGGACAACGACGCCGACGGCGGCGACGACGGCGACGATGTGGCCACTGGACAACGAGATCTGCACGACTGACCTGGACGACTGCACGACGACGACGACGACGACGACACTGACGACGAATGCACGACTGAACTACTGGACTTCTTCACGAAAACCACGACGGCGACACACACGACGACGGCGACGACGACCCTGGACTACGATGACGGCGACGACTGAGCGTCGACGATGATGACGACGACGTTGACGGCGACACATGACAACGGCGAGGATTGAGTTACCGAATGCGAGAAGACGGCGACAACGACGACCGCGATGCCATAAACGACACCCGTGTCGACGCAGACCAAGACGACGACGACGGCGACGATGACGGCTACGACAATGGCCACGACGGACGCCGCAGATAAATTACGACGACGACGACGACCACCACAGGGCCAAAACGGCGAAAACGTTGATGACGACTGGGCGACGACGGTCACGACGATCACGACTGGGCAACGACGGCGACGACACTCATGTTCCTCCTGATCGTCCTCCATCTTTTTCATACTCGCTTCTGTTTCTCCTCCTCACTTCCACGATCCTGTCTCCTTCGTTTTCGGCACCACAGGAGTCGAATCGATACTGGACGCATAATCAGGTCGTGTGGCTGACCGTCCTCCTCTGAATTCTCCTGCTCCTCCTCTTTCCAACGCGTCTGAAAGCGCTGCCCTTACGCATGTTAGCGTCCAGCGTATCTGCGGGCACCCGAATACTGGCGATAATCCTGCGGGCGCCCCAATAGCCCGCGGGCACCGAACCGCGCTTGTGACCTGCGAGCGACACACCGTGACCGCTGTGGCGAAGCAGTGGCGCGTGCATTCGCTGCGATCGCATCTTGCCGAAAGACTTCGGTGCAAAACGCGCGCGCTGCGGCAGTGCCGGGGGCGCGCCGTGCTGAGGGGGTGGGGGGGGCTGCGCTGGCGGCGCTCGGTTGCAGGGTGGGGGGGCGTGGCGTCATAATGCAAATGAGGGGGGGGGGGGGGGGGGGCACGTCGCGCGCGTTGGCCCAGCCTATGCGAAAACCGTTTCAAAACTAACCCAGATGGCCCCGAGACGGCCGAAAAAGGCAAGCAAAGGGCCCGCGAGGTCCCACCATGGCCAAGACTGGTTCAAGATGGTCACGCGACGGAGGAGCAGACTCTTCGCGAGTTCCACTCACACACTCTCGCGCGGGCCGGCCCGGAGGCCGTCCCGAAGCGGGGCGCGCGGCGGAGCCTCGGCTCCACGTCTTTTCGCAATGCACTACTGCACTGCAAAAGAAGATGCAATGTCAACACATCTCGACCTGGGTCAGTCTGCCCGCCTCGTCATTCCCATGGGTTCCCATGCTAGTGCGCGGCGTGCCCAGGAATCTCCGGCTCCTTGCGTTTTCGCAAGCCATTTTGAAGCTGCTTTCCTGTGGTTTGCGACCCAATGCCGAGCGTGTAGTTTACGGCGTCTAACCTCTAGCTCGCGCGCGGTTCTCTGCGGCCAGTCCACCCGAGGCTCTAGGTCATCATCTTCGCCAGATGAAGAATTTGATTCCGACCTGTCTGACGACGTGCTTGGCCAAATTCCCTTCGCGACTAATTGCCGACGGCGGCGGCCAGGAACCATCCGGGGCATCTTCCGCTGAACTCTGCGCACTCTGTCTGTCAGCTCTCGAGTTGATACCCATGTGGCGCTTCCATTTTTAGACAAAAACACGTTGGACACAGTAGCGTCAAAAAGCCGCAGGCGTGCGTTGAGTGAATGCCACTCGTTGGTCAGCTCGTCTCTCTGCGCCGCGAAGCTCTCCCATGCCATGTTCAAGCGGTGTTCGACTTCAACGCCATGTGGTCGATCAAAACTAACTTGCCCCCCAGAATATTTGACCTTGCTTTCGCACGGTACAACCTCAATTTTCACCTTGCCAACCTTCGCGCGATAATATTTCGGCCGCCCCGCTCCCTTCGTCGCATTGGATAAGATCTGTGTTTTGCCGGGGTGGGGCAGTACTCCTCGCTTCTTCGCTGCTTCTTTCAGGTCGATGAGCATTTGCTTCAGCTGTCGAAAAGGCACCCCAATCCCAATCAGCAGCGCATCGTCAGCGAAACGTAAATTGGTAAGTTGCCGGTGCTTGCTGCGCCCCAGGCGCAGACCCCAACTTTTCTTCTCCCAGGCTGGCTTTACTTCCGCAAAAACGTCCTCGAGTACGGCGTTGCAAGACAAACTGCTGAAAAGGTCGCCCTGTTTGGTGCCGCGTAAGATGTCGAACTCTTTGCTCAGCCGGTCTGCGCGAATTCTCCTTGATTGGCCAGAGTGCAGATTTTCGAGCAAACGCGCGCGTTCACCTGGGGCGCCTGGCCTCTCAAGCACTTCCCGGATGCAACTGTGCTGAACAGTAAATGCATTTTGAAAGTCGATCGCATACACCCACGCGCACTGCTGCCATTCATGGCACTTCTCTTGCACCATTGCCGCGGTGAAGGGGCGATGCGCTGCCCCCGCGCCAGGGCGGAAACGCGCTTGATCAACGCACTGATGCGCGTCCAGCACTGGGGACAAACGTGCGTGTGGCAGTTTTGCGACAATCATGTATACAATGGGTATCACTGTGATGGGCCTGCAGTTGCCGGCGGGATCCGCGTCGCCAGATTCGTGTACAACCGTCGGGGTAGATTTGTCCAATCTGCTCGGTGGCTCGCAACAACCGGATAGAATATCGTTGAACAGCGTCAAAATAAAATCCTCCAACTGCTCACCTCCATTCTTGATTATTCCAGTTATCGCGCCTCTCTGGCCCTCGCACTTCCCTCGCCTCAACTTTCTTATCTGCGCCCGTAGCTCGTCTAGTGTGACTTCGGGCATGGGGCTGTCCTCCTTTTCGCCTGCGCGCGACGGCCGCGGTGCATCTTTTGCCCGGCGCAATTGGGCATGGAAGTCCGCGCAAAACATCTGCGATGGATTGCCTGCCAGCAACAGTTTTGCCACTGCCGTCGACCGCGTGGGAAATCATGATTCCCCCTTCTATCTCTTTCAATTGCGATTTTTGTTTGTAAGCCCCGAAATGGTTCCAAAACTTCGTTGGTTCTTGTTGCGGCCCTGGCTCTCCGCGCTGCCCGGGCCTCTCTGGAAATGCGCTTGCTCAGTGCAGTCCTCTCCTCGCACGAACTGCTCATTGATTTCCTCTGTTGTAGAAGACGGCGTAATTATGATTCCCCGTGCTCTTGCGCCGAAGCGCTCCGGCTCGCGGAATCAGCCTCCCCGGCGGCGTCCACCGCCAATTCTTCAATCTTCCTGCGCGCCCCATCTCCATCGACCGGCGCCTCGCAGGAAGCGCGCGCCGATTGCAGAGTCGCTGCGCGCGCAGCAATATCGACATTATACCAATCAAAATCAATTTTCTTTGTTTATTTCCTCGTGGCTCTTCCCATTTGCTCTCGCAACAGACGCGGCTATGTGATCGCTGCCCACGCTCATGCAATGCGTTGTTTCTGCATCCACAATACCCCCAAGCATTTGAAATCTATATATATATATATATATATATATATTTGAATATATATCCGCTCTGTCCCCATTAGTTCCTTGATGCGCGAATTTGAATGGGGACCGCGCGGAGAAAAACACGTTTGAGGTGCTGAGTCGTTCCGTGCATGCCCAAGGTTTCAGCCACTGTCCTCGTGCATTTGGTTCTCGTAGCCCGCGAGGTCCCAGAGCGCGCCGGGCGTCGCCGCCCTGACGGCTGCCGACTTCCGCGCTGAAAATCCCAGCACGCACAAAAGTCAAACGCTTATGCCTAGCCTGCTTCCGCGCATTGGACAACATGTCATATAAATGCTTCGCGCGGCAATCTGCAGAGCCAGAGCGCGGGAAACAGGCATACGCCATCCGCGCGCGAAACGAATCAGAAACAACGTCTGCATAACATATTCTCTCCGACAAGCGCGTAAAACCACGAATGCGACCAACTCATTTTGCGTTGACCAATATTGAAACTCCCTGCGAATCACTTCCCACCCACATCCAAGAAAAGCATGGCTACCATCCAATGTGAAGTACTCGCGGTGCTCCGCCTTCCAAGTTCCATTGATGCTTACAAAATCACACTCCACCCCATCAGGTTACCCCAGAAGTTCGGCAATACGACTGTCAGAAACCAAGCTCCTAACACTGATATGCGATATTATTAACTCCTCCCCCTCATGATTTGTTATGCCATGCTGCGTCTGTACGCCGCGCAGCGCTGCCGCAAGAAAGTCTCCACATACCATCTCAAACCTCCCACGGCCTCCTCCTGTAGACAAGGTGCGCTTTTTCTGTCTATGATTATATGATGCTTTCCCTGTCGCATTCCAATCCCTATCTTCACCGCCCACTCTTCCATCTGCTTTGAGACATCGTCCTTGACCTCCAAAGCCTCACCCTCATACTTCATATCCCCCTCCTCCGCCATGGATGCCCCTGTCTTCCCCCTGATCTCCACCACCTGGCTCGCCCACTCGATTGTAATCAAATGTCTCGCAATGTCTTTGTCTTCAATCAGCCTGTACTTGATATGTCCAAGCTCTCTGTCCACCGCTCGTTTTTCGATGCTGTCGTTGCACTTGAAAATGATGGGCTTGTCGTTGTACCACTTCTCCTTCATGCTGCGGGCGTTCTTCAAAAACCCTATTTTCGAAGCAATGGATTTGAATTGAAGGACTCCTACCGCTGATGGATATGCGAATGTGGTCACATCGGTACATGTTTGTTCAAGTCCAACCTGTTTCACAATCGCCTGCAACAGTTCGATGATGACGTCTTGATCCACCTCCTTTCCCAAACCTTTGGCGATGGCCTGCAACTCACGAACCTCCGGGTCACCACCGGCCTCACTGGAATTGTAGGTTGCTGCATTTGGTTTGAACTGCTTCATCGTTGTCGTCATGTTTTCCACTTCTGTCTCAAAGGCTGCATCTTTTTTGCGTAACTCCTCGATTGTGATCTTCATGTTTTTGACTGTTGCCAAAGTTGTGCCGGTTGTATCGCTTGCGATTTGTGTCATTTCCTTTGTAGCTTTCATGTTATCCTTCATGCTCGTCAACATGTCGAACATCTGGTCAAACTTATCGAACTTGTCGTGTCTATTTTTGCTCGAGGCTCAAAATGTAACCTTTGTGTTTTTCTTGTCGGGTGAACTCCCTGCTGCCACCAATCCACTTTTCTTACAACTTTCCGGCATTATGGCAATTCCGCACGCGTTGAAAGCGGACCCGAAGATCAAAGCTGCAGCAAGCGTCGAGAGCCAAGATGTGTTACTTGAGCCAAGATGTGTTACTTCGCGGGTTCCAAGGGGCTCGAAGAGGACCCCCAAGAAGCCCCGAACAAGGCTTGCCGACTTCGGCACACTCCGAATACGGCTTCCAAACACGCAATGGCGACCCCAGAGGCCCCCAAGGTAGTCAGGAGGGTCCCAAGACGAGCCCAAGACCGCTGAAGAGGGGTTCAAGATAGCAGATGGGCTTCCAAGACAGCACATGTAGGCAACGAAGGACACTAAATTGGCCCAAGATGCCTCGAAGACGGCCCAAGATGGACACAAGGCGGCTCAAGACGGCCCAAGATGCCTCCATGAGGGGCCGAAGGGGCCACAGGAGGACCTCCAAAAGCGACCGAAGAAGCCTAAATCATTGATCCCCCCAAAACAGTGGTCCCCTTCTCGGCGGCCAAATTTGTTCTCAGGATGATAAAGATACCTCACGGTAGTGATGCCAATCGTACGGTCAAGGTGACGACGGCGGCGAGTGATGATTGCGGTGATGGCTTCGCGCGTTGATGATTCTGATACTGATGATTATGATGATGGCACTGCAATATTTGGATGCAACATATGGTGATTCTGACAAACCATTCAAATGAGGCCCCACCTCTGCAGACCAGGCAGATCAATGCACGTAGATTTAGTCCTATTCCAATTGTGTTTTAGGGCCGAGGGTGCCAAACAGGGACCACCCCCCAAACGGAGTTCGGTCTCCCAGGGTCCCGCGGTATCCTGGACGCCCGTGCAGAGCGTCCCCTCGGCCATCCAAGCGCCAGGGATGCCTTACCTTTCCGATGTCCTGCGTATATTGCGTATGACGGTTCTGCATGTGTATTGTGCGTGTTTGTCACTCGTGCGTGTTGTGAACGTGTTTTTTTGGTGATGCAAGGTACGCGACTTGGTGTATGACGGAACATCTGCGCGTCTGCGCATTCCTTCGTCATTCGTCGAAGACGCGAGGCGGAAGACCCAGGGGTCACCCGGATACTTGGGGTCTGACGGCCGAGGCATACTTTTCATAATGTTGTCAGTCGTCGAAGGCGAGAGGCGGGATGGCCAGGGATCACCAGTACACTTGTAGTCTTGCATGCGATGTAGAAGTATGTAGTGCGGGGGAGGCGGATCGGGAACTCTTGTCATAGAATCGAGCAAATCCAAACTGCCAGGTCAGACAAACATCAAAGATCCCCCTCCTCCTCCTCCAACTCCTCCGCCTCTCCTCCTCCTCCTCACAATATATCTTTCGAGCGGGCGAGGCACGATGGGCCCTGTGCGGTTCCGCCGCTGCATCCAGTGCGCCAGCTCGCCAATCTCAGCCCGACGAAGCCCTCCGCAAAGCTGTCGCTCGCAACCCCCTGGAGACCGCGGAGGGAATCAAGTAAGTATGGGGGGCCCTCTCCGCCTTGCCCCCTCCAAGAGAAGCGACAGAATACAGAGGGAGAGGGAGAGGAAGGGGGCGGCAGTAATGGGGGAGCGGGAGAGGGAGGGATGGGGTGGAGAGTATTGAGAGAGGGGGGAGAAGAGGGGCAAGCTAGATAGGCTTGGGCCACGTCTAGCATCTCTTCTCACTGCGTTTGATTCGTTTCGATTGGCCGAGACGGATGCCGACAGAAACTCTGATCCACGGGTGAAGCTTGACAGTTGTCGACGAGGAGGCCAAGCAGGACCAAGAAGTGCGCAAGGAAATCATAATATAGGTAGACAGACGACGCCCATAATCGAGCAACGCTCGCGCGAGACAGGTAAACTAATGCCGGTGCATTACGGTACCCACGACGCACAGCAGGAGGGGAAGCGGGACTGGAATCCAAGGTGGTGTTGTAGGCAGATCGAGGGTGCTAGCAGCAGCACGGGGTAGTAATTAGGGGGAACTCTCCCCCCACCCCCTTCCAGCCAATTTGTGTTTTCCCTCTGTGGCTGTACTCTTCATGTGTTCCCTCGCACTCGTATTATTTATCCGTCGCATTATGTTTATCATGTTCATCCGCCTTATGCTTCCATCCAGAGGGGGTGCAACTATTCACTTTGTTATCCTTGGGGCTGGTCGGCCCTGGGAGCTTTCGGGGGCGCCAGGATGCCCACCCCCCCAAGAGGCGCCAGGAGGCCACAATCCTTCGAAATCTTACGCGTATCGTGAGGTTTGCCTGTAATTGCCTGGATCTGCTCCAATTCTGCAAGCGCTTTCGGGTGCGTTCATCCGACCGTCGCGTTTGCCGTCATTTGAGTGTTTTTGCATATTTGTTTACATGTGGTTGGTTGTGTTGGAATCTGATCTTCGGAGCTCAACTGCTTGCGTTTGTTGTTTTGCTTGGTGCTCGTCGTCATCGTCGTCCTCGTCAAAGTGCTCGTCGTCGTCTTGGCCGTCTCCGTCGTGGTCGTCGCTTGTCGTCGTCGCTCGTCTCGTCGTAGCGTTTGGTCGTCATTCGTCGTGGCGGTCATTGTCATGGTAACTCATCGTTGTCGACGTCGTGGCTCCACCCCGTGACTCATCGACATCGTCGTCACCGTCGCTGGGCGTCATCTGTGACTCGTCGCCATTGTAGTTCGTCATCGTCGCTGGTCATCGTCGCGCGCCCCTTGTCGTCGACAACCCTGGTAGTCATTCGTCGCTGTGATACTCGTCGCCGTGTCTTTGCTTATGAACCGTCACCGTCGTCGCCAGTTGTTGCCCGCGTCGTCGTCGATCGTCATCCCTCGGCATCACCGTAGTCGCTCGTCGTCCTCGGCCATTCGTCGTCGACTGTCGACGTCGACGTCGTTTGTCGCCACATGTCGTCGCTCGTCGTCGTCGTCGTTGTCGACGTCCTGATTGCTCCTCGCACTAGGCACTCGTCGACGTCGTCGTCGCTCGTCGTCCTGCCAATCAGGGTCCGCACGCCGAACCCGCCCGTCAAGGTCCACCCAGCCCTCCGCCGCTCAAGATGCGCCCGAACGACCCGCTGGGACCGGACCGCCCGACCCGCCCGTTAGAGTCCGCCTGCCCGCTAGTTAGGGTTCGCCTCTTCGATGCGCAAAAGCTCGCGCGCCTCCCCTGGTCGCTGCGCCACTGCGCCACCTCAGAGAAAGGCCTGCGCAGGCGCTCCCGCCAGCGCGCAGGGGCGCATGCCAGCGCGGGGTCACCCTCGGTGAGCCCTGCGCTCGCGATGGCCAGGCTTCTGACCTCGGCCTGCGACGCGGGCGCCCAAGGTCCTGCCCCGCCTCCTCGGCGCTCGCCCTGGCCGCCGCCCGCTGCCACCCGGCACGGCGAAAAGCCTGTCGTCCCGCTGCGAGGCGGGGGCCCCGGGGCGCCGGCGCGCGCGGCTCCCGGCCGCGCTCCGCGCCTGCGTTCGGGTCGCTGTTGTCCCCGTCGAGCTCGTCGGGCCGGAGCCTTGGCGGCTCGGCCCCAGGCTGGTTGCAGCTTGCGGATGGCTTCCGCTTCCTTGGCGAGGCCCGCGGGGGCGTCTATGTCTCCCCCTGCTGCAGCCGCCGAGGAGCTCGCGGGCGGCGTCGACTCGGGCGATGGGGGCCGTGGGATAAGGCAAGCAGCTCGGGCCCACTGAAGGCGGCCTGGGCGGTCCGCCGCTGCTCCGCGGTCGCCTCGCAGAGTCGGGCCCGCTGCTCTGTAAGCGCGGCCTCGCTGTCCTCGACCTTCTTGGCGCAGGTCCGCAACTCGCTCGTCGATCTCCGCCAACTCACGCTCGGCTGCCGCGTGCTTCGACTCGGCCATCTCCAGGTCGCGCTCGCGGTTGGCGGACCTGCCTGCTACGCCTGGGCGACGCATGGCCAGCTGACCGCGGGGCAGCCTCCACGGGGCTGTCCTCCTGCTCGGTTTCTCGCTACGCCGCCTCGGCTGCGGCGAGCCCCGGCAGCCGCGGCGTCGGAGGGCGCCTCCGAGTGGCCGAGGATGCCCTCCAGCTGCTGGGCCGTGGTGCGATGCCGCTCGACGTCTGCCGCTTCCTTCTCAGCCTTCCTGCCGCTGCTGGCCCCGCCTTGGCCGGCCGCGCCGGCAGCTGCGCCGGCGGCCGAGGCGGCGCGAAAGGCCGCGGCTGCGCGCGCGGCTCTGCTCCCGCGGGACTGCGCGACGAACCCCTCGGCGCGTGGCCCCGGGCGGGGCCGCGGCGCCTCGGCCGGCCCCCGCTGCGGCAGCTGCCTTGGCCCAGGGCGGAGCCTTGCGGCCGCGGGCCCCGCGGGCCGCCTTGTCGCGCCAGTTCCAGGCGCGGCGCAGCCGAACCGAGCAGACCCAGTAGGCTCCTGCGGCTGGCTTGCCAGCTCCGCGGACGCTGCCGGCTGCGACCTCGGCCCGGGAGGGCTTTCCTGCAAGTCTGCCTCCACCCGGCATGGCCGCGCTACCTGGGGGGCGTCGCCTCGCGGCTGAACACTTCGGCCCCTCCGAGCCTCGCGCCGAGGACAAAAATCGCGAAGCTTCTGGCTCTTAGCGAGGAGCTCCTTGCGCTCAGGGTCGCCCGACGGACTCGCGGTCGTCGGGATCGCCGTCGCCTTGGGCCAAAATGATCCAGGTCAGGGGTCCGCGCATCGTAGCCGTCACTCTCAGCTGCTCGATCTCCTTGGCATGGCGATCCGATAGGACGTCGCCCTTCTTGACCAGCCCCATAACCAGGTCGTCTTAGAGACCGCTCACGCGTAGGCCTTTGGCTCTGAAGATCTGCTTCGCGTCGACCACGAAGAACGCGTTGAAACAATGTGTGCCTCGCTCCACCGTCGCATCGTGCTGGGCGAGGCTCTGTGCCAAGTCCTTGCACACTCATGGTCTTGTCCTCCGTGCCAGCCCGCGTGGCCAGGTAGACGTCGGCGTCTCCAGGGGCGGGGTCAACCGCCTCCTGGAGGAGGTCCTTCTTGAGGTAGCTCCTCGCGTAGCAGCCGCGCACGCAGCCTAGGGCAAGCACTGCAACGATCACCACGAAGACACCCGTCTTCAGAATGAACCAGAACTCCTCGCGATCCACGTAATGGGGCACAAGTGCGGGGCAAACCGCTGCCTGACCTGGCCCCTCGTACATCGTCACCTTCTCGCCTGACGTAGAAGTCGCGACTCCCGTGAAAACTGCCATCGCGCTCAAGCCCTTGAACTGTTTCCCGAACTTGAGGTTCAGGGTGGTGCAGTGCTTCTCTATCGTCGACCACTCGCTGCACTTGGTGAGCACGTCTGCCGTCATCTCATTGGCGTCCTCGTTCAGGAGCTCAAACGCCTTGAGTCGCAGCCGCTCTTGAATTCATAAGTACCTCAGTTCCAGATGCCTGACCCTGCCCACGCCCACTCTGCTGCGCATGCCCCGTCGCGCGGTGCTGTCGCTTTAGAGCTTAAGGTTGCAGGGCCTAAAAGTTTCGATCAGGTAGGTCTTGCACTGGAGTCCTCTGGCAGTCGCACTGCCTGCAGCATGCATCTCGGATTCCCGTGAGCTTAGACCTATGGTGCTCTGCGTCGCTGAGTAGCAGTCCCATGTGTGGTCACCATACCGCACTGCTCCTCCGCTCGTGGATCGCCCCTGCAGTTCACTTTGCAGGGGCCCAGTCTGCATCTCCGTCCACACGAATGCCTTCAGGAGTACCCTGCAAAGGATAGCATCAGACCAACACAGCCCCAGCAGGCCTCGAAAGTGGCGACAGTTTCACAGATCGCAGCCCCCCGGGGATGGCGAGGTGCAATTTCAATCCGCCGTGTGTACCCACTGTGCTGGGCCCCCCAGCAGGCCTAGAAACTGGCGACAGTTTCGCAGATCGCAGCCTCCCAGGGATGGCGAGGTGCAATTTCAATCCGCCGTGTGTACCCACTGTGCTGGGCCCCCCAGCAGGCCTCGAAAGTGGCGACAGTTTCAAAGATCGCAGCCCCCCAGGGCATGGCGAGGTGCAATTTCAATCCGCCGTGTGTACCCACTGTGCTGGGCCCCCCAACAGGCCTCGAAAAAGGCGACAGTTTCACAGATCGCAGCCCCCCAGGGATGGCGAGGTGCAATTTCAATCCGCCGTGTGTACCCACTGTGCTGGGGTCCCCCAGCAGGCCTCGAACGCGGCGACAGTTTCACAGATCGCAGCCCCCCAGGGATGGCGAGGTGCAATTTCAATCCGCCGTGTGTACCCACTGTGCTGGGCCACCCAACAGGCCTCGAAAGATGCGACAATTTCGCAGATCGCAGCCCCCCAGGGATGGCGAGGTGCAGTGTCAATCCGCCGTGTGCACCCACTGTGCTGGGCCCCCCAGCAGGCCTCGGAAGTGGCGACAGTTTCACAGATCGCAGCCCCCCAGGGATGGCGAGGTGCAGTTTCAACCCGCCGTGTGTGCCCACTGAGCTGGGCCCCCCAGCAGGCCTCGAAAAAGGCGACAGTTTCACAGATCGCAGCCCCCAGGGATGGCGAGGTGCAATTTCAATCCGCCGCGTGTACCCACTGAGCTGGGCCCCCCAGCAGGCCTCGAAAGTGGCGACAGTTTCGCAGATCGCAGCCCCCCAGGGATGGCGAGGTGCAATTTCAATCCGCCGTGTGTACCCACTGTGCTGGGCCCCTCAGCAGGCCTCGGAACTGGCGACAGTTTCACAGATCGCAGCCCCCCAGGGATGGCGAGGTGCAATGTCAATCCGCCGTGTGTACCCACTGTGCTGGGCCCCCCAGCGGTTCTCGAAAGTGGCGACAGTTTCGCAGATCGCAGCCCTCCAGGGATGGCGAGGTGCAATGTCAATCCGCCGTGTGTACCCACTGTGCGGGGCCCCCCAGCAGGCCTCGAAAGTGGCGACAGTTTCACAGATCGCAGCCCCCCAGCTGGCACGCAGACGAGCGAGGCAAAAAGCAAGGGGGGGAGAGGGGCGGGAAGGAAGGAAGTAAGGAAGGAGACGCGCGAGCAGTGCTCTATTCAAAACGAGAACCCAACGCAGGAGGGCCGGGGAAAAAAACCATGGAAACAAAAACATTGAAAACCCAACGAGTGTCAACAAACTTCTATATGCCCCCAAAGATTCAAAAAAAGTGGCTGCGGGGACCTCTTGGAAGTCCTCGGAAGCGCCCTCGGTAGTTCTCGGTAATGTTTTTGGTAGATTATCAACCAGAATTGAGGGTTGTGCGAATGTGTTTACATTTGTTGTTGTTATTGTGTTTTCAATGTGTTCCATGGTGTTGTCATGTTGTTCTGTCTGTTCATGTTCATGATTATATATACCATGTTTTCATGTTTTAATTGTTTTGTGTTTTCTATATTCTCATGGTTCTGGATGTGTTTCTTTGACTTTCAATATGTTTCATGTGATTCATATATTGGCATGTTTTGCCGGCTGTTTCGATGTGTTTTGTAACTGTTGGCAGCGGTTGGCGTTCCTTGGATTCCAGACCTACTTGTCTCGTGTATGTTTGTTTCGTGCGTGGCTGTAGTGTCTGCTTGTGTGTTCGAAACAAATCTCGCGTGCGTCATGCGGCGTGAACGTGCGCGCGCATGGTAGATGTGCTCATTACAATCAGCATCGCATGCATGTGTGAGTTTGCCCGCTTGTAGGCTACACATTCGCGCCACTAGTAGGTGTCGCGTGCTCTCCATTGCGTTTCTGAGATGGCCATAGGGACATCATGCCGCAATCCTCGTTGGGGCGAGGGTGGTTTATAGCATGCATAGTATTGTACTCTTCTGGCTATGTAGTCGTGCATGTGCTGCGCCTTTGCTAAACTTAAGGGGCCCACTGGGGCTTTTTGCAACGAGGCTACGAGATCTTGCATGCACGAGCGAGATGCGTCGTGCTGCCGCAACAGAGGCTGCTGGCCGCGACGCCGACATGGCGGCGACGTGCAACATATAATATATGCAAGCTGACCAGCCTCAATCGCTGGAAGAGTTGTCAGATCCCTCTCCAGAATCTCCAGACGCTAACGAGTTGTCGCTGCTGCTGTTGCTGGTGCTGCCGTCACTTGAGGTCTGTGCTGCGCTGGCAACAGCATGAGGTTTCGCCTTGGCTCTCGCCGCCCTTCCACGACCGCGCCCTCGCAGATCCTGGGCCACTGGGTCGTCGCCTGATCCCCAATCTTCTGGAAGACAACTTTTGCCCACATCCGGCGAGGCCGGAGTGTTCTTCATCCCTGGCTTGAATAACATATGTTCCCTGCGAGTATTGTAGCAGCGACATTGGTTCAACCAGTGCTTGTGCTATACTTGCACCTCCTGACCCTGCTCCGGTGTTCTGAATTGTCGAGACTGGCGACAGATCGTGTTCTTCTGCTTTTCATTTGCATGGCCGCTTGCCCGTCGACCGCGCAAAAGCTCCCAGTTGTTAGGCGGCGCAAAGACCATGAGCCCTGGACCCCATTGGCACGACCTTTTATAATGTTTGCGCCCTTTTTTGCGACCAGGCTGTTCCACTCCATCGCGGGCCCCCCGAGGCCCCTGAGGCCCATCTGCACTGCCGCCCGGTGGCTGTCTAGGTTGTGGCATGGCATCCATGCCCCCTGAAATGCTGCGCTTGTTGTTGCCACTGAGCAGGCGATTGTAATGTGCATCTCTCTGGGCATGTGATATGTGCCCTTTATTGCCTCGCCAAATCTTTGCAAGGGCTAGATGGTGGAACTGACTGATGGCGGTCGCGTTGAGACGTGGGGCCATGAGTTGAGCATTCTTCCTCTGGAGCACTGAGCAAGTGACGATTGACTCTTCGCCAGTAGCTGTAATCCTCCAGTCAACGGCAGAATCAGAAGTGCCAGTTTGCTGGGCAATGCCAGCCTCCTCGAGTTTCTGCAATGCCTGAGCGGGTTGAACATTCGAGCCTGGCACGGTTCATTCTCGATGATCCTTCCTGCGCCTCTTCCTGTTCCCCCTGACCTGCTTCAGCTGCTGCTCAGCTCCTCCCCCTCCTCCTCCCCCCCCCCCCCCCCCCCTTCCTCATCCTCATCCACCTCCCCCTCCTCCCCCTCTTCCTCCTCGCCCTCCACTTTCTCCTCTTCCACCTCCTCCTCATCCCCCTCCTCGCCCCCCGTGCCACTTGACCCTGGAGAGCCCCCATTGATGCGCGATCTTCTTTGGAACAAGCCCAGCTAGATCCATCAACGTGCGATTCCAAAGCCGAACAAGACATCATTGCGGATCGTACCGATGAGGTTTTGTTTTCCATCACAGAAAGCCTGGCACTCTGAAATAGAGCTCCTAGTTGGGCTGTGTCAGCCATTGCTGGCCAAGATGATTAGACAGATACGACCAAGACATGACGCGCCCAGCGTCGCACACCTTGGCCGATGGAAATTGTTTCGCTGAGTCGTCGCAAGCATCATCGAAAAAGCCTAATACATTGATGACGATATCACCAGATCCTAACCGAGTCTTAGAATACCCGCTCAAAATACTCTTCGGACCTTTCACCGTAGCCTGGAAGACGCAAGTCATATGCCTATCTGGTTGCGCGTCGCCATCGAGCTCTGGCACGGGGTCGCTTGCCTCGGGCCCTCCACTATGAAAATCGAGGTCGGACTCCATTGACGCTGGCATATGGAAGGCATCGGCAATCATGGAGGTGTCCAGCACGCCTGGTGCGAGTCGACTCATATCAATGCCTCCTGAGAATTGCAGTGGCGTTCGTAGCGCATCGTCCAAAGTCGGCAAATCTCATAGGCGCGCACGCATGATGAAGATTCCGCCCCTGCTTGCGAGACTCAAGAAGTGCTTGATTTTCGCATGCCGTGTAACTCTTTTCAAGATCGCAGCCTCCAGGGGAGACCCAGACTCAGCCACCGCCGCATGCTCGCCTCCCTTTGGCGCTGGTGGGCCTAGGGGGCCGGGGGACAGGCCAGATCACCAGATGGATTTTTGGCCCGGGGCCCAGAGCACGCATATCTTTATGAGGGTAGGGTCCGAACCCAGCGCGAAACAAACAACAATGACATAACCATCTAAATGATAGCAACGTCCCAGACACGGCATTGAGAGCAATCGCCGGCCCTGGGGAACCATGCAAACCGTGCCCCACGGCACGGCGAGAATCGCCCCAGACGACGCCGGCGACGCGTGAGACCAAAACAAGCAGCCGCCCAGAAGTGTGAACAATCGGTCTTGCGAAGGGGGGGGCCCCTGAGCGCGCGAAGGCCCGCGCGCGTGGAACTTCTCTCGCTCGTCACCTCGCTCGCGTGGATTCCTGCTGCGCGGAAGCCTGTTTCAGAGCCGTGCCGGAGGCCTGGAACGCAGAGCAAATTGAATATGGAAGTGGGAGCCCCTGGGCGGCTACAACAGCCC